TAGGGATGTTCAAATTTGTTGTAGTCAGGGTATTCAAAGGAATGGATTTAATAGCAGACACAGTATTTGTAAGATTATGTTATAATATTCACTCAATCAAGTGCAGAAGAGTGTGAGAGATCTATCCTCACATCAGAGACCAAAAGAATCCAGCTGAGGGCTGGATCCCATGGCAATGTCCTGAACAAGTCCAGCTGAAGACCTAGAGCCCATGGCAATGTCCTCCAAAGGTCCATCTAGAGGTCTAGATCCTATGACAGTGCCTCATGATTCTGTTTCAAGGAGCTATGCTAGGAAGGCCCAAGAGTCAGTGATGGAAACTAGAAAGTCTGAGCTAGTGTCATGAAGGATCTGTGCCAGCAGGGTGAGGGATTTGCACTAGAGCCAGGAAGTGACTCATGAATTAAGGACTAAAGCTTCCTAAAGAAGAACCATAGCCATTCCCTGGGACAGTGAGGATTCATGCTCCTCCGACAATGAGAACAACTGAATTTATATCACAAAAACCAGCGTTACAGGCTTCTCCAGGAGAATCAACAGCATACCATCTTCCCCTCCAGTTCTCTTTTTATGCTGTTGGCAACAGTTCTTGGGTAGGCTTTCCACACCCAGCATCCTGCTGATTCTTTTCACCTGGGTGTTATAAGTTGACCATTCATTAAGAAATCACAAACTTGTTATGTGTCAGTTTTATTTATATCAATTCAAATTAGTTTGTCACCTTAATATGAAAGACCGCAATATTTTATTTTATTTTATATATTTGTTACAGGGTCTCACTATGCAGCTCAGACTCATAGTGATTCTTCCATGTCATCCTCCCCAATGCTGGGATTACAGGCGTGCACCACCATGCTTGGTCTAGATGGCCAACATGGTGTGCCCAGGGTGGTACCGGAGATAAAACCCAGATTCTTGTGCTTGCCAAGCAGGCACTTAGACTGCTGAGCTATCTCTCCAGTTCAACCAGAGTCTTTAAGGCTGATGCTTACCTTAAATATATCAAGTTGTAGCAATAGTGAATTTTGAATTTTATTTGTATTGATAAAACTGAAAATAAAACCTGCACTAACAGCACTCATCTATAATTATTTTTTCTTAATAGTATATACTTTCTTATTTTGTGGAAAAATAAAACAATTTCAAAACAAAATAATAGCATAACTGTAGTTACTACATTACATATTGTTATTTTCAAAGTAGTTACTAAGAGTATAAGATATAGGCATAAAGAATCCTCCAAGTAGTATTAGCAGAAACATTTCTTTTCAGTGAGCTAAGAAAAACTAATAGTATAACTGTCTCATATATTTTGTTTTTCTTTCCTTCCTTTCATTCCCCTTTCCTCCATCCTAGTCCCATTTCACAATATCTATTGTAAGGTTTGGACCTTATTTACTCTTTTAGCTTCTCACACCAAAGAGACAATATGGTGTTTACACATGTGAGTCTGATTTATTTCACTTAGGAGTATGATCTCAAATTGTATCCATTTATCTATAAAACCCTCAGGTTTATCTTTCTTTGTGGCTGAGTAGTGTAGTACTGTCTTGTATAAAAAGATCACCTTTTTTTAAAAAAAATATATATATATGTTCCTTGGTGTTTATCACCATGCACTAAAGTCAAAATAGATTAAAGATCTAAATATTAAAACAGAAACACTAAATCAACTAGAATGGAAAATAGGTGAAGACATAGGTGTAGGCCGAGACTTCACAACCAAAACCCAGATAGCACAGGAAATACTACCAAGAGTCCACAACTGTGATCTCATCTCATTAAAAAGGTTTTGTAGAACAAAAGAAATCACTAACAGACTGAAAAAATCAACCCACAGAGTGGGAAAGAATCTTAGCCAGTTGTCAGTCAGACAGAGGACTTATATCTAAAGCATAAAAAGAAATTCAAGGGCCGGTCTGATAGCTCAGCAGACTAAAGCACCTGCTTAGTCAGAGCACAGTGGCTGGGATTTGATCCCTGGCATGCTGTGCCAGCCTTGCCCCTGGGGCATACTGGGATGGTGATTGACTCTGGGTATGGTGGCACACACCTGTAATCCCAGCCCTTGGGAGGCTGTAAATAGTAGAATCACTATGACTCCAAGCTGTATAGTAAGATCCTGAACACCCTGTAGGCCCTGCCCTAAATGCAGAAAAAAAAAAAAATTGAAAAAAATCAAATCACCTCAAATTTAAAGACCAAATCCCAAAATGGGCATCTGAGATGAATATACACTTCTCAGATGAAGAAATACAAATGACAAGTATATGAAAAAAATATTCATCATCATTAGTCATTTGAGCCTGGTGCGGAAACCGCTGTGCTAGGTCGCCGCCCTGTCATTAGTCATTTGAAAGATGCAAGTTAAAACACTGAGATTGCACTTCACACCAGAAAGAGTGGCTGTCATTGAGGAATCAACCAATAACAAATGCTGGAGGGGCTGTGGGGGAAAATGACTCCTTCTTCACTGTTGGTGGGAGTATAACCACTGTGAAAATCAATGTAGAGATTCCTCAAAAACCTAGGATTAGAGTTCTGATTCAACCTAGCTACGCTCCTGCTAGCTATAGTACCAGAAGAATTCAAGACATCATACTGTAGTGATATACGTGCACCCACGTTCATAGCAGCATAATTTGTAATTACTAAATTTGGAAATAATCCAGATGCTCACTTACAATTATTTTTAAACCTAGTTCATTAATATTGGTATCATATATTAAAGATATACAAGTACATACCATATTTAAGCATATTTGTAATATAGAAAAAATGAAAAGATGGAACATATGAAAAAGAACTTCATATTTCATTTTTCATAGGGAAAAACATACTTCATATCTAGCTGTAATGAAAAAGATATTAAACATTGAAACTAGAATTCACATTGTGTTACTGTACAATGGTATAGCTTCCTTTGAATGTATTCTGAGAGTTTTAAATGTTCTATACATAAAATAACTCTGTGGCCCAGCAATTCTCCTCCTAGGTTTATACCCAAAAGATTGAAAATATTTGTCTATGCAAAATCTTTTTTATTAGTACATATTTACAGTACATAAAGATTACATTTATCACATGTACAAAATGCATTTTATTTTTTTTTTGTTCCCTTACCCTCCCATTTCTCTTTCCAGCACTTGTTCTCCTTCTCATTTGCCAAAGATCTATTTCCATTTTTTCTTTCTCTTTTTAAATCCCATTTTGCTTGCTCTCCACCCTCTCCACCCCTTTTCCTTCCCATTTGACAAAGTTCTTCCAACTTCCTATTATCTTTTATTTATTTTTTGGGTTTTTCCATTAAGAGAGACCATACAATACTTAAGTTTATGTATTTCACTTACCATTATGGTTTCAAGATACAAAACCTTATAGGAGGATGCTCACAACATTATTGTCATGGAGACAACCCAAATGTCCATCAGCTGCTTAAAGGATGATCAAATATGAATAATATTCCTAGAATCTAATAATATTCCTGCCACTTAATATGATTCCTGCCATTGAAATTTAAGTCTGCCATTCGAGGAGATTACTGTTTATATATAAAATACTAATAAGCTACTACCTAGACTCCTTTCAGCTAGACAGCTTTCTAAAATCTTATATCTTAGAACAGCTCACACACAGAGTTAAGCCCTTTCAAATGTACAGTTCACTGCACTTTGATAAACACATGTAGTCGTGTTAAGTGCCAGTACAATGAAATATCGAACAATTCCGTTCCCTGCATAAGTTCTCTTATGCTTCTTAATAGTGCCCTCTGCCCTGCTCCCCTGGAGATTATTACCCGATTTCTGTCCTTGTTGCTTGCCTTTTTAAGGATGTCATTTAAACTGAAGTATACACTGTGCCTTTTTATAATGACCCAACATCTTTGGGTGATCCTACTGCATTTTTCTGAGAGTATGAGATAATGGGTTCTAAGAGTGTGTCCCACATGTAACCATCGGTGCTCTTGTGCCAGAACATTTTGCTTCCAGTTGAACTCCATTTGGAATTTCACAAGTGGCAGTGCTGATCAGAACTCTGGTAGCAGCTATAGATAAGCCTGAAATTAGGATTTAAATTTTTTTCTCCTAGGGCTTCACTAGCTTAGCTGATACTCTAACATTTGCAGTTTCTCTTTAGTTTTGTCTTTTTTTTTTGGGGGGGGGAGTTGAACTGGGATTGAACTCAGGCCCTTGCGCTTGCCAGGCAAGCACTTATTCTACTGAGCTATCTCCCTGGCCCCTGCAGTTTCTCTTTAGATTCAGAGTTGTGATCTCAGCAAATAAGCAAGTAGCTCTTAAGCCTTAAGTGAGACGGCATCTCTTATAAGCCACTGAGATTTTTATGCTCATGATTTGAAAAGATTAATGTATTTTATGGTGATATATTATAGAAATATAGATATGAGACAGAAGCCTAAGGTCCCAAGGGAACAAAGAGCAATAAACAGAGCCCAAGGAGATCTGTTGTCCCTCTTGTAAATTCCAGCAAGCTAGGATTCAAGGCCACAGATAGCAGCTTCCCTTGCAGGTGCCCTGACTGTTCTTTAATCCCTTATTTGGGATGTTATTGGCTAGCATTGTGTAAACTCAGGGCTAGGTAAATGCTGAAGTCAATAGAGTAGTGTGCACCAAAGTAGTTATGCACATTCCTTAGCCTGCCTTTAGCCCTCAATAAATGTGAGATGCTTCTGTGGTCTGGGCTCACTTAGAGACAGAGACTAATCTCAGTGAGACATCGGAAGCTATATTCATTGGGTCTTTTTGTCATTTCTGTGGGCTCTGACTGATACCTTACAATAATATATGTAACAGAAGATGAGAAATATTTTTTAGTGTATATGTTTTATTGTGTTATACTATCACCTGCTTTTTTCTTTTTACGAAGTTTGAGAAAAGGTACCCAATTCACCAGTCAGATATGCTCAAAATGACATTTAAAATGACATGGTTGCCAGCAGAAGTGATTTAAATGATTTTTTAAAATTTCTGTTGTATTTGTAGAAACAGTCAAATGCTTGATGAAGATGACAAATTGAATGAAGCACCCAAATCTCCTGTGATTAACTTACCTGATAAGAAACCTGGTGCCTCACATCTGGAAAGAACCACAGAAATAACTGAGACCCAGACTACTGCCACAAATAGTTTGATGAGAAATGTAAGATCTCATCCACTTGTAACATATTCTTTATGTTTATTTTAGATGAGGTCTTACTATGTAGCTCAGGCTGGCTTTGAGCTCACTGTGTAGTCCAGGCTGCCCTTGAGCTTGTGGCGATCCTCCTGCCTCTGCCTCTTGAATGTTGGGATTACTGGCACCATACTTGGCTCTTCAAGTTATTTTGCATAGAGAAAAGAAAACTAAAATTAGGCCCATCATGCAACATTTCTAGGATTGATCTGCTTTTTCTGTTTTTAAGTGAAGCTGTAGAGACCATCACACTTCAACTAATATAGATAATGAATTTCTGTAAAAGATGTAACTAACTCAATCCACAGCTGCAGCTGGATATTTTGGTGATAGTTTGCTGCACCGTAAATTTTACCAATTCATTAAGGATGCGTGGTTGTCCTTAGGAATTAATTTATTTATATGTATCTTTTTAGTCCAGAGACTTGAGTGAACAACAATCAGATCCTGCCCAGAGGAAAAGAATTCTTCCAGCTTGGATGTTACAGGATTTAAGTGATCAAAAACTTTCAGTGCCAGTCATTAGTGGAGGTAGGTTTTTGTCGCTGTTGATATTGACTTTCAGGAAAGCAAGCAGAATTAGAAAGTGTTCTTTAATAAAGTAGTGATTGTGTAAAGTGGAGCTTACCTTAACAGTTTTGAGGTGAGTATATGTAATCTAAGTCATGTTTTTGTGTTATATCATTTATTAGACACCATCATGCTGATTGTATTATCTTCTGATAATGAGATATATTAAAACAGATTTTCCAACAGTTTTGTGCCACTTCTAAGATAAAAGATCAAAATAATATAAGTAACTAAAATTGACTGAATTAAGTTTTAAAAAATGACACACATATACAGTTGATGTAGGGGAATGAAACTCCCCTTAAAGATGGGGATGAGTTCATGTTCTCTAAAACGAAGATTTAATTTTGGCAATGATGGAGACTAAGAGGAGAATGTATTTATTGGAGGCAAGAAAGCTTCTGTCAGAGAGAGGGACAGAAGGGGACCTGAGTGGGTTGCCAAGGAATCTATCTTTTCTAAGGATTTTTATAGAACAAAACCATGTGGTAAGGTGGGTCTAAGGTGGAAAACATGGGAACTCACATAGCTGGGCATGAGGTGGGGCAAAACTATGGTCAAACGATAAGATTGCAAGCATAGTTGTTCAGGTAAAATTGATTAAATCCAGGACCAAGTGAGGCCTGAGACATGTAGCAAGTGGGCATGAATATAGAGCAGAGGCTTGGCCTATGGGGGATTGGGTTAGTGACTTCCCGGCTTCCTCCAGGTTATAGAAACCGATTTAGAATATCAGTCCTGAATGCTCATCCTTAGGGAGGTATACATTTGTTTGATCTTTTGTCTTAGGGTCTGGTCCATAGCAGGAATGTCTGTGTCTCACTGTTGCAAGGCATCTTGCCTTCCATACTGGCTCCTTTTGAGGGTCAGGCGCTGTCTGACTGTCTATAATATTTGTGTCTAACTCAGCTGCCTACAATACAGTGTTCATGCTGGGAGATTCAAAGATGTGATCTCTGTCCTGGTATAGTTCACCATCCTGGTAGACAGCACAAGGATTCTGTGTTCTGTTGAAGAGTGGCCCTATTTCCTTTTGTTTTTTCTTTTTTTTTCAAGATTTTAAAACTTGTTTGCTAATTTTTTTTAGGCAAAATTTTATTCATTGTGAAGTAACAATTACTCGTTAAATAAGACCTTATAAGGTTAGTCAGGATGGCTCTTCAAGTGCAAGTATGAAGTGAGTTCTAAATATATGGTGAATATTTAAATTAATTTTTTTAATTAAAATAGAAGACGCATTGCCATTAACCCCTTCAAAATATTCCCTCTCACTTCAAACACGTCTTTCCCATTATTCTTGCCACTTTCTGAAGCAGTTCTGGAAGTTCTTCCATTCTCTAGATGAACGGGCACTCTTTGCCTTTCCCCTGGAGCAGGCGCTCTGGTGGGTTTTGTTTGCCTGTGGCTTTGCCCATGGCTTTGGCCTGCCTGACGTCTGGCAGTGGCCAGATTGTTACTAGGCACCTCCATCTCTCAGTTCTAAATTGCAATTACGAGATCTGTTTGGCCTACTTTAAGTCAGCTTTCCCCAGGTTCAGGTTTTTTTAAGTGGATATGGTGAGGAAGGAAATAAAGGATACCTCATCTATGTGTAGAAATTAATAAAAAACTTATGTAAGTAGTTTAAAAATTTTTAAAGTACTTCTGCTTTATATTCTATATAGAGCTTTATGTTCTATATAATTTTAAACAGTTCTGCTTTATGAAATTACTTGTTTAAATTTATTTACCTGACAAAATACTGTGATAATTATATATATTTCTAGGGTACAGTATCGTGTTTTAGTCTATGTATACACTGTTGAAAATATTTAGTCAAGCTAATGTATCTATGACCTTATCAATTTATTATTTTTAAATATGTATGTGTATTTAACTTCAGACTTTTGCACATGCAAGTCACTTGAGTGTGATAAACTACCATTTGGGCAGAAGGTGTGTCTTATTTCATTTACACTTTATACTTCTCAGTATAGTAAATAATATTAGTTGTTAATAATTTCACTTGGTTTGATGAATTTGTGACTATATTGTATAAATACAGTAGTCCACTTGTATGTATAAGGACTACATTTCAAGACCCTGGTGGATGCCTTTAACTGAAGGTAGTACCAAACGCAAACCCTATGTTTAATATTTTATCCTGTATAAATATACATACATACATACATACATACATACATACATTCTTGTATGGTAAAGTTTAATTTATAAATTAGGCACAATAAGGGATTAGCAGTGACCACTAATAATTAAATAATTGTTTTATAATGTTATGTGAATGTGTGATCTTTCTCACAAAATACATTATATTTCACTTTTTCTACATCAAGGAAACACTTTGTGGCTTCTCTCGGGCATGTCTAAGTTGCCAGCATTACCGTTCTTATGCTTTGAGGCAATTATTAAGGAAAATAAGGGTTACTTGAACACAAACATTGTGATAACACAATTGATCTGATAATCAGGGCTGTTATTTGACTAACAATATACAGTGTGGATACACTGGACAAAAGAATGATTCATGTTCACGTGGGAAGAGTGGGATAGTTCAAGATTTTATCACGCTACTCAGAACAGCATGCATTTTAAAATGTACTAATTATTTATGCTTTGAATTTTTCACAGTTGACTGTGGGTAAGCGAAGCTGTGGAAATGAAATTGTGTATAAGGGGAGAGTGCTTTATTATTTTTATATTGGTTCAGTTGGTATTCCTAGTTGATAATATGAACAGTATTCCACTGGCATTTGTTTCTTGAACTTAAAGGTTTATTATCTGAATATTCTCTGTAATAAGCCACACAAACTATAGCCCATGGGCCAAATTTGTCTGTTGCCAAATTTAGTAAATAAAGTTTTATTGAAGCCCAGCTATGGTTTCCCGTGTATGTTTTGTCAGTGGCTCTTCTCATGTTACAAAGAAGATAAGGGAGTTGTGGCAGACGCTATACAGCCCACTGAGCCAACCTACATGCTGCTTTTTTCTAGTGGTTTCCTAACCCCTACTAAAGAACATTAAGATTTGTCTGTCTATCTCATTGTCTCCAAGAGATCCTTTGGATAAAGTCTGTAGATATTCACAATTCATTTACTTGATAGTATCCATTGAACATCAGTTATATAGTAGATAAATTTATAGGTCCTGAAGATATAGGGGAAAATAGTGAACAAGGCACATAAATCTTTCTTTTCATGATTGTGTCATTTTAGTGTAGTGGAGACAACCAGCTATATTTTCTCTTAAAAAGTAGGTATTTTTTTTCCAATTAGATGATTCATTAAATTGTTAACAAAAAATGATACTGAGAGCTTTACCAACTGCATTGATCTTTGGGTAAGTATAGGTAATGTAATATCCATTGGTATCAAAGCTTACTTGCTTCATCAGCAAAGTCTGTACTGGTCATCCTCTTTTTATTTTGGGTTCTTATATACATTTTAAATAATTTAAATGAATTTGGATTTCCCAGTGTACTTGTTAGGGGCTTAGGAGGCACAAATAGCTGTGAAATGCACTGGATTGCTCTGTGCCAGACTTTTTTCAGAGAAATGTAATGCTGCAATTAAAGAATTTGTAATGTGTCACTCTATTACATAGTTTACATACCTTATTTCATATACTTCTAATAACTCTATTATTAGAGTTCCTATTTGTGTGTGTGTGTGTGTGTTTGTGTGTGTGTGTGTGTGTGTGTGTGTCTTGGGGAAGGGTCTACAGGGTGCTCAGGGTCTAGTGATTCTCCTGTTTACAGCCTCCCAAGTGCTGGGATTACAGGCGTGTGCCACCATGCCCAGTCTCAGTCACCGACTCAGCATACCCTGGGGATGGGGCTGGCAAGGCAGGTCCAGGGATTGAATCCCCTGGAGTTCCTATTTTGTAGAGCAAATGAAAATATAACAAGATGAGATGAAATAGTTAACTACCATTGGTATTTTGGCCTGGTAATCGGGGACTAAAGTCTTGCTTGTGTGTTGCTTAATACTTTTTGAGATTTGCAAATAAGTATTTTCAAATATGCATTACTATAAGTGAAACTTTAATTTTACTTGCTCTTTTTTTATTTTTGGCATGGGATATTAACATTCAAAGATAGAGAAGATAAGTTTCTTTTTCTTCATGTGTGTGTTTGTGTGTTTAAGATAACAACGTAATTCAGGGAAGTGGAAAAGGAGTCTGCAAAGAAAAAACCCACAAAAATCTAACACAGCAAGGAAGAAAGCGAATTTCATCAGGAAATTCTGAAAGTGTAACAGAAGGACAAGATGCAGGAAAAAGGTTCAAAGACACTGGTCAGGATGAGCCTGTCAGTTCATCCAAGGTGACTTTTACAAAGTTCATCATTTGCTTGTTTTATTAAATGCTTCCAGTAGGAATTAATTGTGTATTGTATATAGCAAAGAATCTGAAAGTGTTTTTTTGTTTGTTTTTTGTTTTTTGTTATTGGAAATGGAACTCAGAACCTTGTGCTTGCCAGGCAGGAGCTTGCGCCACTGAGCTGTGTCCTCAGCCCCCTAAGACTGTGTTTTGTTAATGACTTCATGAAGGTACAAACCAGTTTACAGAAACTAATCTTTAGTATATGGATTAATATTTACATTACAAAAAAGAAAGCCAAAAGCCATTAACTTTAGAAATTTTCAAACTGAAAAAAATGAAGATCTCTTTCCTTTTGTCATAATTTGTCAGATTTATCACCTTTATTCTGCAGTCAGATACTCCACCCATGAGCTCTGCCCCCATCACCGTTATTCTGAAAGCCTCACTGCTTCCATCCCATTGGTCGTTCACTCATTGCTCGTAACCATGATTTTCTTGCTAAGTGTAAAGAGAACAAATAATAATTTGTTCTTAATAATCGGTCGCAGGAACACTTCTATAGTGATCCTAATGGTATTCCTACACCTTTCCTTTCTTCTCTCAGATTTGTCTAACTCTAGAGTGATCGGTGTTCCTTGACAATGGATATTTAAAGAAAATGAGACCTTTTTATGCTCACTCTGAAATCTGAAACTTTGCATAGTGACAGAGACACTCAAAAAATTTTGGATTTGGGAGCGTTACAGATTTTGAATTTTCAGGTTAGGAATGTTTAGCTGGTAAAGTCTATGCAAGTATCTCCCCTAACCTCCTACCACCACCACCATCAAACCAACCTGAAATCTGAAATACTCCTGATTGCAAGCATTTGAATAAGAGTTGTGACATTGATGCAGTGGTGTGGTTTGTGTCTGGATGTGCCCACAAAGCCTCATACAGTCTCTGGGGCAGGCTTCTAGAGTTTGCGATTGATTCACGGTCCAATGCTGAGATTATGGGTGTGAGTGCTACACCTGTGCTGGGGCGCATAGCCTACATACAATATGCGGGACAGAAAGAGGCTTGCGCCTGCTCTCTTGCTCTCACTCTCTCTCCTCTCTTTTTGCTCTTGTTGCTTTTATTGCCTTCTACTACCATGACCTGTTGTCCTTGTGCCCACCACCCTCCCTTAGAGCCAAGTGATTATGGACTAAAACCTTCAAAAACTGTGAGCTAAATCAGCCTTTCCTTCCTTAATTTTGGGTGTTGAGTATTTTGCTCCAGCAACAAAAGTAACTGAGACAGAATTTAGTCCTAGAGGAGTGGGTCATTGCTGTGACTATACCTGACCATGGGTTCAAGAGCCTTTGGGACTGGCTTGTGGGAAGAGATTGCAAACGTTCAGAGGTTCAGACATGTCACCTGAAAAGGTAGTTTGGAATACCTTAGGCTTTTCTGAGGATTGGGAATATATCTCAGTGGTACAATGCCTGCTTGACAAGTGTGAGGTCCTAAGTTCAATTCCCACTATCTTCCCCACCCGCACAAAAGAAACAAGGCTGTTCTGTATGGGAGGTTCCTGTCAGAGGTCAGAAAACCAGAAAACCAGTAAAGAACAGGGTTGGGAAGTTTCTCCTTGGGAGAAGAACTGCATTGGCTGCTGGACTTCAGATAATGTGTGTGATGGCTTGGCAAAAAGTTTATCTGCCTTTTTCTCCTGTGCAGAGACTTTGCCTGAGACTGAGATTAAGGGAGGACAACTGTGAATATGAGTCTTGGGGGGGTCAGGGGTGGAATGCTATGGTTTGGTTTGTGTCTTGATTTCCCCCAAAGCCTCATATAGTCATGGGAGTGGGATTCTAGAGGGTTTTTTTTTTTTTTTTTTTTTTTTCAGAACTGGAGTTTGAACTCAGGCCCTTGCGCTTCTGCTAAGCATCTCCCCAGATAGGGTTTCAATGCTGACATCATGGGTGTGAGTGCTACACCCACCCTAAGGTGGATAGTCTAAATACAATATATGAGGGACAGAAAGAGTCTCAATCTCTCCCTCCTTCCCTCCTGCTTCCTCTCCCCTTCCTTTTTGCCCTTGTTTCTTTTGTTGCCTTCCATTGCCATGACCTGTTGCCCCTGCGCCCACCACCCTCCCTTACAGCCAAGTGATTATGGACTGAAAACTTCACAAACTGTGAGCTAAATAAACCTTTCCTTCCTTAATTTTTGTCATTGAATATATTGTTCCAGCAGTGAGAGAAAAGTAATCAAGACACACAATGAAGAAATAAAGAGAACATGAGCTAGGACTGTAACAAGGATAGTGAGGAACCTCTAGATTAGAAAAATATCTAAGAAATAAAACTGCAGGACTTATTGATCAAATGTGGAGAAAGCCAGGGACAGAAGGAATGAAAGATAGACTTCCAAATCCCAAGGAAGGACAGATGCATACATTTGTGTTTGAAGAAACTGTGCTAGAGAACAAAGAAGATATTTCAGTTTTGATGTTTTAATTCTGAGGTGCATAGAATATTGAGGAAAAAAATACTTACAGAGTAGTTGAATATGTGAACATGAACCTCAGGAATGAAATTGGGGTCTGGAAGCGTGGATCTTTTGGTCACTATCATATGCTTTTTAATGATATTGATTGCAGGACTTTTAAGGCAGTTTAGCACAGGTGTTCTTGCCAAGGGCAGCCAGGAAACAACAACAGTTGAATTTATGTTAAATTATTTTATTGAGTTTATGTTAAAGAGAAAATCTTTTTTTTTTTTTTTTGGTGATTTTTTTTGGCAGAACCAGGGATTGAACTCAGGCCCTTGTGCTTGCCAAGCAAGTGCTTATTCTACTGAGCCATCTTCCCGGCCCCTAAAGAGAAATTCTTTATCCTGTTGTAGAACATTAAAACTTCATTTGGTTGAAATGTTGGAAAGGGCTTGTTGGACAAGTCCATTTTAGCTGTTTCTGAGCACCAAGGTCTCTTCTCACCAGCTACATGGTCCCTGGTCCCTGGGCTCTCCAATGTCACTAGGAAGCTGATTCATCCCACCATAAGGACTTAACACCAAAAGGAACTGGCAACACATCCCAGATTTTTGTGTTTTTGATGAAAGATTTCAGACAGGCCACATAGGTCATTTCGTAGGTAGCATTTATTGCAAAATGATAGATTTTGAGAGAGACAGACAGACAGACAGACAGACAATACCAAGCATAAGTTGAGCAAGTACCAAAATAGTAGTTACATTGAGTGAGTTGAATGAGGCCTCAGGTGACATTTATATGATTAACTGAGTTTTTCAAGAAATGTCTTTTTTTTTTTTTTTTTGAGGACTTAGCATGCTCAGAGCTTGTTACAGTCTTTGAGCTAAAATTTGAAGCCACAAATGTGTATGGATTTTTCTATAGTTAATGACTTAAAGCCACTAAAGGGAGAAAAACAGTGTTTTTTTGCTTTTCAAAGCTGCCTGTCTCCCAGCTTTCTAATACCTTTCTCCCCAACACCTAACATATATGGTTGTGGTTTAGATCTAAGTGGTCCCCAAGGCCTCAAATGTTTGGTGGGTGATTAGGTGTGTGGGTGCTCTCCTAGACTAGCTGCTAGAGGTGGGTCTTGTCTAGGAGGTGGCACTCCAGGGGTGTGGTCTAGTAGCACACATCGCTCTTCCAAGCTCATCCCTTCACTTTCTCCTTCCTCACTCCATAAGCTGAACAGTTTTCCCCTGTCAGACCCTTCTGCCTTGCCTTCCTGCCTTGGAGCCTGTGGACTAAAAAAAAACCCTCTTCCCTGAAGTTGTGGTTGTTGGATATTTTGTCCTAGTGGTGAGAAAAGTAACTAAGACATACAGTTTTACAAGGTAGAAGTATGGCCACTCCTTCATGGATCCTCATCCTTCCACTAAATCCTTGATGTTTTCATGGAGTCTCATGAAATAATTGATGTGCAAGGCTATACGAAATGGAGCCGTTCCCCTCACCTGCCATACGAAGCACCCTCCCTCTTTGCTGCTTTCTCACTTACTGTTCACTGACCTGCTCTAGCGTGTGAGCTTTGTGACTGGCACGCTGTGAATGTAGGCCCCAGAAAGCTTACAAGTTACTGCATGTAATGGATTTTGGGGATCATTTATAAACAATTAAAATAATGAATTTTAAATTCTTGAATTCCAAGGGTCTACTCTATATTAATATTTCATGGAGTTCTTTAAAGAGATTACAAATTTCAGCTTTTTGCAATTGACTCTTAAAATATATTTGAGAACCCCTGATCCATAGTACTGTATTGACAGGGGACTTTAACATTTCTTTCTCTTTGGAAATAACATGCTAAACATGTTCCTTGTGAAGACTTAAGGGTTTTTTTTTTTTTAATAAGGCAAATCCTTTTTATTTCATAGATGTAGAGTGATACTATACATTTCATTTTTAAAAATAATTTTGAGAAACAAATAGCAATGAGACAGTTTCAAAACCAATTACTAGCACAGTTTCAGTAATTAATACATTGCATATTGTTATCTTAGTGGTTATTCATTGTACAAGATGCAGACATGCTACCCTGTCCACAAACACTATTATAGCAAATCTCTCTATTCATTGAATTAAGATAATGCAGCTGTATATCTACATTTCATTTTTTAATATTTTGTTTTCTTTGGTTTTTCTTCATTTTCATTGATACTGTGGATTGAACACCAGGCCTTGTGCACACTAGGCTAGTGCTCTAACTAATTGTACTCCCAACCTGGTTTTTAGTTTTTAAATAGCATAATACTATGTATTTATTGTCAAAAGTATATATTAAGAAGCATGTAGAATAAAAAGTGAAAACTCCAATTTGCCTTATCCTTTGCCAGTACCAGGCATCAAACTTGGCCCCTGGCACTTACCAGACAGGTACTTATGGCGCTGAGCTATCTCCCTGGCCTGCCTTATCCTTTGATATCACTATTTTACTAATAATTTTATCTCATTCTAAAGCTTTGCTTTTAAATTTACACAAGTAAATACACATGTAAATATATCGGTATTTAAAAACAATAAGTGGTATCATACTATAGACTTGTATGTGTTTAGTTGAAAACATCCTTAGATATGTCATTATTATTTCAACATCTGTGTGTTACACAGTAAGAGTGTATTCTAATTTTTAATTACTTTTTTAGTTGTGTCTCTTTTCTTTCTTGCAGTAAATATGACAGGTTGCAGAGTAGAATTTTTTGTGTGTTTTTGCTACTGTGTCCACATGCTGGGGAGGAAAGTACTGAGTATAGGTACTGGCAAGTCTTGGCCTAACGCTACAAGAAGCCACTGAAGCTCGTTGGGGCTTGTGTCTTCAAGGAAAGCACTCAGCCAAGCCATGTGAGCAGTTGTACAGAGAATAGGCAGAGTTTATTGATAAGTGATAGAATTCCAGAATAGTAGAGAAGATATACTTTCAGTTATAAAAGCAGGTAAGCGCCAGTGTGGCAGTTGCCCCAAATTAAGGTTTAGAATTACATCAGTCTTCAAGGAATATAATTTTATTTCTAAAGATCATCACTCTTTTAAAAAGAAAATAGAACTGTTTTGACCAACTTCAGGGAGAAGAAGTTCTTACTTACTTCTTGGGTGAGAATTGCATTTGTTTTCAGATCTTGAGGCTTCTTAAACTCTAATCTTTTTTTTTTTTTCGGAACCGGAGATTGAAATAAACTCTAATTTATGATCTGCACTTTTTGGCTTTGTATGGCCCTGGACCATATCAGCACGCTCAGAAGAGGTTACATTTTCTTGGGATATAACTTGAAATCATAAGCTTGTTTGGATTTATCTGTAGCTAATGATTGAGAAAATGGAGGAAAAGGGGAAAAAGCACATCGTGTCTCTTTTTGTGTAGATCCCTGCTCTTTAACTTTGAGCCTGCTGACATCTCACTTCCTACCTAACAGTGTTCCATGTTTCAAAGGTGGACCATCACTCCATCTCCCTCAACTGTGAGAACCAAGACTTTTCCTCTGAAATTTATTGAATGATTTGGGAAGTGCTTACCATTCCATCCCCAGACGTTAGACCAGAACAACTGAGGTCATGAAGTTAGTGTAGCGGAGAACAGGATTTCCTTTCTTTCTAAGATGAAAAGAGTGATACTCTTAATGAAACTTACTTGTGAGTTTGGAAATGCCAACTGCAACAGGAAACTGGTGTTTTATGCTAGCAGATATATCCATCTACCCATTCCTCAATTTAGGAAAGGAAAAGTAGGGAGAGCTGACCCAGTAGGGAACTGCCAACTGGGGAAGCAGGTCAGGATTACCTCATTTTCGTTCTAGAGCTCCAGTTGGTGGTATGTGCCAGGTAACCCTACAGTGTAGGACAAAGATTGGGGTGTAATTGAGCATCTTGGAAGCAGAGTGTGTGGTTCTGGATTTGCCAACAGTACCACCAGAAGCCAATAGTAAGCTGGAAGAGATAGCTAAATGATTACTTTTTCTGTAAGTTATCTGGTATTATACACAAGATCTAGATTCCATTTGCAAGGTGATTATCAGTTTGAGTATTTTAAGATCATATGTTGTGTTTTTTAAAAAATTGGTCTACCAGAAGTCGTTTTAATAATATCTTCAGAAATTTGAGCTATTGAATATTAAGTAATAGCAAACCCAGCCATTTCCAGATGGCAGCCCACATATGAGTCATTCTTTTAAATGGAAGTGAGCATCTGGTATGTTATCATATCCTAGGAATGGTTACCAGAAGGACTGGTGTTTATCTGAGAAGTTTCTATTTCTACTCTGCAAGAAATAGAAGTCATTAAGAGAGGTCATTTTGATCAAGACTAGTCTTACTATTTATGCTGGGGATAAACAGAAATTGAAAAGATTCTACAGTGCTGATATTTATCTGGTTCAAACTACCTTTAATCTTGTTAAGCTGAAATGTTTATTTAAACCTTCTCAAAGGAAATATGATCTTTTTCTGAATTTGTCATGATATTCCTTCTTGCAAATTTTGTATGAGCATAGAAGCTATAGGAAAAATTGCATTTACATTTAGAGGGTGGAATATTTCACTAATGTATAAGAAATTATAAGGTCAGTGCATGGTTAGAGCGTGACATATTGTTGAACGTTAACATTTAAGAGCTGTTTTTGAAAGACTGTTCAAATGAAATCAAACGTTTTAACTTCGGTTTTGAGTATATTTTTTCTTATTTTTTTTAGTGAATGACATGATTATATGTGTTTATTATTTTGTAATAATTGAAATTTGTTTTAAAACTAAAGACATAGAAAATAGTGGTATTTTAATGCCTTTAAAAATGTGAATCTTCAGAAAACCCACTACTGTTATGGACTACTGGACTATATTGGAATATTTTGCTGAATTCATGTACCTACAATATTTAACTGACAATAGAATGCCCTTCTCTGATGAAACTACCCAAAAAAGGGGTATACAAATGAATATTTTGTATCTGTATACTCAGGATAGTTAGGATAGATGTATAGCTGCATTCTCTTAATTCAATGAATAGAGAGATTTGCTGTAATAGTGTTTGTGGACAGGAGATCATGTCTGCGTCTTGTCCAATGAATAACCACTAAGACAATAATATGCAATGTATTAATTATTGAAACTGTGCTAGTAATTGGTTTTGAAACTGTCTCATTGCTAGTTGTTTCTCAATAAAATTATTAAAAAAAGTGAATCTTGACATTTCAAAAATTTATATTGTAAAAGTCTTATATTTTCATGCTCATGCTTAAATGTAAAAACGTTTCATTTATTTCTCATTTTTATAGGACATGTCAGAATCATTTTCTGCAACCACATTAAATAATCCCGATATGCATAGTTTGAAGAGTAATACACAGAAAAATGAAATTCCAATTGTGGAACTTGGTAAGATTTCTGAACATGAGAACATGACTAAAGGAACACTAAATGAAGAAGACGAGGTGGTGAGCTTTTCCGATAGTCGTTCAAGTGTCCCCGGCAAGCCACTCCACAGTGTATCTCAGACATTTCAGCCTAAATCCAAAACTGAATCTTCTAGTTCTGAAACTCTACAAGCAAAGGCAAGGGATTTGCTTCCACAAAGTTCACAAGAGGACAAGGTCAGGAGGTCACCCTGCATGTATGGAGCAAACTGCTACAGGTAAAATGAAATTATAAGTAGAATATAATTCTGTTGTTTAAGGGCTGGCAAGGTAGCTCAGTGGGCTAAGTGCCTGCGTAGGCAAGTGCAGGGACTTGGGTTTGATCCCCGGCACCACATGCTGTGTTGGCTCATCCCCAGGCGGGCAAGGCCTGTGACCCTGTCCAGTTGTGGTGGCCCACGCCTGTGATCCCAGCACTGGGGAGGCTGAAAACAGGAGGATCACTATGAGTCCGAGCTGCCTACTGAGACCAAATACGTAAAAAATAAATTAAAATAAAAATAATTCCATTATTTAAACAATAGCCTAAAGTGTATTAAAAACCTAGTAAAATTCCATTGGCCTAAATGTTAGGAGTTTTACCATGTTTCTCCTGGTTTGCACTTTCTTAGTATGGGTTCTAGCAAATCCTGCTGGATGCTTTTTTTATGCAGACATGCTGAGTAATGAAAGGCTCTGAATACTGCAGAATACAGACTTAAAAACTGAATCACTCTGACCTAAAATACCTGCTTATTTAATTAACATTAGAGCCAAGTAGTTGTATGGTCTACAACTTAGATAATTTTAGATTGTGTTTAGATAGCTTTTTACATTTGTGTTTGTTTTGTTTTGTTTTGTTTTGTTTTGTTTTGTTTTGTTTTGTAGTGACACTTTGAATAGCCATGGTATCTTCCAAAACATCTGATTAGATATTCTAACAGTACATTCCAGTAGTTTGTTGTATTATACATAGTGTATTTACATCACATACTGTGATAATTTTACATTTATATTATTTCTCTTTAAAATGGCTTACCATTTTAGCATGTGAGTAACCATATTTGTCAATTTTCACAATTCTAATTTTTGCTTTTATACCCAAGTATATCTGTTTGCAATGGCCTTAGTACATTTGGAACATAAAACCTTGCAGAATAGAAGTATATAAACATCTGTTACTTTTGATTTTGAATGTGACACACTGGGTGGATTAAACAACAGAAATTTGTTTTCTCATAGTTCTGGAGACTAGAATTCCTAGATTAAAGTGTTGAGAAGCTTGATTTCTCCTGAGACCTCTCTTACTGACTTGAAAATGGAAACTTTCTCTGGGTGTCCTCACGTAGCCCTTTCTCTGTTCTAATACCTCCGTAGTCTCTCTTCCTCATTGTATAAGGCTACCAGTCATATTTAGTTAGGGCCTACTCTAAGAACTTCATTTAATCTTTTTGTTTGTTTTATTGAGACAACGTCTCACTATGTGGTTTATGTGGGATTTGAACTCTCTGCATAGCCTAGGCTGACTTGAATTCATGGTGGTCCTCACACCTCAGCCTCTCCAGTGCTGGGATTACAGATGTGTGACACCACATGAGTTTCATTGAACCTTAAGTATTTCTTCACAGGAAATCTGTAAATACAGGGGATGAGAGCTTCAACATAAAAATTTTGAGGGGGATACAGTTCAGTCCATGGTATTATTGAGTACAATCACTTGTCTTCGTTAAAAGGTGATTAAATGTTTTATCAAGATTATAATTACTCATATTTGATAAAGATACATGTTAGTTTAAATCAGTCATAACTGTAAGTGCTTCAGTTTTTCACTAATTTTGATGTATATAATACCTGCAAACTGTTTTAGCCCTGAAACTTTGAAAATAAATTATTCATGTTTATAACGTAAGGGGGAAATGATATATACTGAGTTCTTGTTACATATAAACATTTTAAAAACAATTCTTTTTAGCTTCAATGCTACTGCTTTAGTTCATATTGCTGTCTCCCCTTGGGCCAAGTGAAAAATTGCCTAAGTCTCCATTCTTTTCCCCAAGTTTACATTCCTCATTGTTGCCTCAGTGATTTGGCTAAGAAAATAAAAATAGAGATGAAAATAAAGAAAGGGTAGAGAGAGTCCAATAACATTATTTTTCTGTTATACAGTGTTTGAGTGGCTAAAGTTGAGTTTTCTTAGCATGGTCCAGAAGACCCTGAAGTCCTATAATCTTTAAGTCAATCTTGCTACTTTATATCCTTTGGACTTGCGTTCCTTCATCTTGTTTCTATTGCTTAGAAACTCTGCTCCCATTCAGTCCTTTCTGAGTCCTTTTCTGACATTTCAGACCTGGCATTTCTGTCTTCTTCTAACCGGCTCCTTCTTTCTTCTACACAGTGTTTTTACCTCAGACTGTTCATAACATTTTTTATTAAATCTAATGTTTACTATTCAATGTTTGATTTCCAGTTATTCATGTATATGCTTTGTCTTGCTATAGCTAGACCATTATTTCTAAGGTTAATCTTATTCATTCCCATTCTAGCAACTTCCAAATCTGTATTTCCACAACAAAATTCTGTATTGAATTTCATGTATGTGCCAGGAAAATCCACACATACTTCAAGTTCAGCATTTCTAGAGCAGTTGCATCTTGCTTCAAACCTGTCTGAAATAGTAAGAACAGAATATCATCGAGCTTTGTAGGACCCGTTGTTTCCAGAAAAATATTTTTGTAGATTTTACCTTTTTAAGCTATACAGTTTTTCTGCTTAATACTGTATATTCCATTACTGCTATAAACAGCTTTTAAAAATCAGACATAAGTTGAATTGTCTCTTATTAGCACATATGAAATGTATTCTTTCATTATAACTTGTAGCTTTTCTCTGTATAAGGTAACATAAAGGGTTAATGGTATATGTTGAAATGTTTTCACTTCTGTTAAGGGGGAAGCATCTTGTTAAAGGCAAAATTTCCCACTGAGAGCAACTGAAATGCTGAGCACTCACGTTTGAAAACCTCAAAGGCTTTAGAACTTTAAATCTCCCTGTCCCCTTGTGACAGTTGTCAAATTTTTAATGTCAACTGAGGGCAAAGAGAGCAAGCAGAGCTTTGATGATTCTCGTGGGGCTTAGTTAACAACAACAAATTTCACTGTTTACCAAGTGAATATTGAAGCACATATACCC